AAAAAAACACTCTATAATGCATAACGAGAAAACTCAATGAATTCATCTGTTTATTGGACTAGTTATTGAAATTTTACAAGAAATGTACTCACCTTCTTTACTTATTTTCACCAACAACAAAAATATTCTAATGCACACGTCAGACAAACCGATGCGCTTCTGTAGACAAGAATGAACAATACAATAATCACTCACAAATACAAGCGTAATTTTACATTCGATAAAGAGATGGCAAAAATTTACATTTCACTAAGGGGGAATACCTATCGTCCAGTTAGTACTCTTCACATGAAATAATACGTTATGATTTCACACATATATTAGATGAATATATAATTCTCAATGAAAAGTACATTGCCTACTGAAATTACGCTCGAGGATGTGAATTATTCAATAGAGAGAGTACCTATATTTTCAATAAAACTGAAGTAATTTTCTTCGTTCGAAATGAAAATTCCGAGGTAAATTTCAATCTTTTTTCCCGGTGTGAACCTCTCCAAACATTCTGTTAATTCAAACTAACACATAGGACATCAATTGCATGGTCTAACAATATGTGAATATTTCGAGCACTTTTCACAATATAGGTACATAAGCAGTGATCAGCAATGGTAATCAACTAACTATAGACGCGCAATGTTGAAAAAGAAGGAAAATGGCACAATACGCAAAAATTTCAGTATTCTTTTGTAGGTATTTTAATAATTATTAGATATAACCCAAGTACATACACACCCGCAAATGCATTCTATTCAAAACTAATATCCCAAAACTGGAACAACAAATATTTAAATGGTAAACAATCGACTGGTTTTATTTGAATGGCGCAAGCCCGAATGTTGAACTAGTAGTTTGCGCGCACCCTATTTGTATTTTCGGCCGTTCTGGCACTCTGGCAGTCAGTCAGAACTCGCACAACAGCGGAGGTGGTCCCGATATGTTAACCACTCATTGCAAAGTGAGAATAGAATAAATTACACGGTTAAATTCGGATGATCCGCGCGATCGAAAATATTCACCTACTGAAATGTAGAGAATGCAGAAAATCCGCAAAGTAAGTGATTATTTGGATAATGACTGGAACTTATCCAGGAACTCACAAATGCCTGAACGAACTTTCAAACGTGACACATCAGCATTATTCTCGTAATTATTATATCAATTAGCAGGTGTTGGCAAATATAGGTATTGTCGGAAAGTATTCATATCTTCATTCAGCAAATTTTTTTTTGACAAATGGCATAAGTCCCTAATTCTCCATGGCCACAAATAATGTATTTTTGGCATCTCAAATGATTTTAAAATGTTTTTTACTTAGCTATTTCAACATAATTAGTGAAACAAACAATGAAAACATCTACCGATATTGATTACTCCTTCAGTGTTACTATTTAATAATAATATTCCGCTTGAGTGATTTAACAAGCCTGCAAACTTTTACAAAATGGAATATTACAGGATCATAAATATCATAAACTAGTAACTATCTAGCGCATACGCCAAATAGTTGACTTTTATTGGTCAATTTTATGTTATTGCAATTTTCGTGAAAATTCCTTTTTTTTCAATGGAACTACAGCCAATATAACCTNGTTTAAAAAAATTGCTTGCAAAATAAAAACAGAATTTTCGTTCGGAGCCATGCTGTACGTATTTTCCCCGCTCCTTGACAAAGAATCTTATTTTCAAATATTAAAGAAATTATGTTCGTTTTTTGCAGTTACTCGCCTTCAAAGCTTCCAAGTTCAGCGCATCAGAAATACCAAGAAAAAACATCACCCGCGGGGAAAATGTCCCCTGAACGACAAACGACAAAACAAAAAAGACCCGACAACCGTGGTGGCGTCTGAAAAAGCCACAGCCACACCTCCATAGGCATAACCGAGAAACTCCTGCCCACCAGACGTGTGAAATTGGAGGGGGAAATGTCGCCCTGCGATTGGCCTAAACGCCAACACTGACACCCGTCCGCCAATAGCGTGGCGTTACCATCATTAACACAGCCAAGTGTTGCCGTTGTGGGGTTCGCTCTATAGTCCTGTACTGTCTTTTCATCGGTATAGAGGTGTTACGGTTCACACTCACTCTTAACCCTAATTTCACTGGGATTTGGACTCTCCGTCGCGAGGCTGAAACTAGTGCGTGAATTGTCAACTGACTGCCAAATAGTGGACCGATAGTGCTGTGAAAACAAGTGAAAAAGTGTTAGAACCATGACATCGCTCTTGTAAATTCAGAAGACTATGCTCCAATTTTACAACATTTTAAAAATCAGATATTTATGATTCATTTGAAGCGGTCGAAGAATCTGTCGGATTCTGCCGCTTTTCAGCCAAACAAATGCGTTACGAAACAGGAATAGACACCGTTCTAGACAAGGGAAAAAGTAATATGGCCTACCACCCCTTTCTGCAGCTTCCTAGACAGACAGACTTTAGCGTTTCCTCGCTGCTCACGGCCGCTAATAATAGTGCGAACTCCTCGGGCTCACCTGGAGGCCCGTCCTTCTTTCCGTCGGCGGCGTTGGCAGCGTTCGGGGCGCAGCAAAACCACCACGGGTGCTATCCGGGAACTCTAATCCCGAAAATCAATCACCCCCATCCGCATCATGCCTTGACCGGTCACCCTTACACCACAGCTGAAGACGTCGTTTTGGCCGCGGTTGCCGCTCACAATAACCACCACCCTGCCATGATGAGGCCTCTCAGGGCGATACAACCCGAAGAAGACGGTGTAGTTGATGATCCTAAAGTGACTTTAGAGGGGAAGGACTTGTGGGAAAAGTTTCATAAGTTGGGAACTGAGATGGTGATCACTAAGAGTGGCAGGTAAGAGATTTTATCTTTAGTGATTTTATTTTTTATCAAAGGAGCGGTTTTGGACCTCACAGAAAATTAATGGTCTGGAAAATGCGATGGAGTGCTTCGCTACTAGGTCAATATGGTCATATTAGTTTCATTTTTGGAAACAATTCCTTGAAAATTGTTTGCCTTTTCAATTTCTCATCGGTTCGTCTAAAATTTTCAGAGACAAAACTGAAACGATAAATTGAAACCGCAAGGAGATCTTCCCATACACTGACTACTTATTCTATTTGGATTTCAAAAGGTATTCAGCTGTTTGTAAAGAGTATGAAGAAATGCATAAATCATAATTAACAAAAATAATTATCTACCAACAGAGGACAACATTTTATTCGGTAATTCCTAGTTATCAGAAATGAAATAAAACAATATGGGCCTGCATACCTTTAAAGCATGATGTTTAGTTTAATATACTTATTCTCTTAGAAAGATTCTCAAGCTACATAACGAACAGATCATTTCATTCAAATGAAAGTAATTTTATTTAACAACGACTGAATATACATGAAATTAAATAAGCAATATAAAAATATATATTATTTGAGTAATAGCATTGATGCTAGAATTTACTGGGACTATGTCGGCTAGCACATTTGTATATTCAATATCATAGTTTATTTTCTGCGGTTATAGCTAGAATATAATTTTTACAAGTGACTTCATTGAAATATGGGCAACCAATTAATTAAATTGACAGCCAAAAATTGAATCCTAGTTTTTTATGTATAGCGTAGGGCTATGATGAAAAGTCAGCGGATTTCTATCAAATTGAATATTTAAACTACATAAGAGAGTCATATTGATTGGTTTAATAAATCAATTTTGAGAATTTCGGAGGGCGGAAAGTAGCCTGGCAGAAAGTGTTTTAAGCTTCAAAAAGAAGCGATCAGGATTTGGCTATGTCTGAACCACAAAGAATCATGCAGGGATCACAAGTAAAATGACCATGCCAGGGACCTATATACATGAATGCTTAATGTTTCTATTTAAAAATCGCAATAAATTTGAATTGCATAAGAGACAACATAGTCTAAACACACAAAACCATAACACCGTCTATAATATTCCAATCCACAGACTTTCATCAAACGGAAAAGACTCCAGAGTATACATGTATTATATGTATAGATTCTTCAATACATTGCCAACAACAGTTAAACAAGAATATAACATGAAAGTATTCAAGTGGCTTATGATAAATATTCTTATAAGAAGAGAATCTGCAAGAAGAATAAGACACAAGTGTTTTTTCAAACCACTTCATTTATTTTATTATTTCAATGTATACAAATGCTTTAAATATTTTAACCCATACAAATGATTGTCTTCAAGTTCCCTATATAGATTGATTCAGTCAATTGCGTAGGTGGTACCTGACAGTATTTTCTTTAATTTTGATTACTTTGATTACTGAGATGCTCTTACATGTAAGTTCACTATGATTGTCATTCCTGAAAATGAAGCTTTATTCTATTTTATCAGTAACATATTGAAGTTCTTAAATGTTTTCGTCACTTTCTTTTTTTTTGGATCCTTCTGGATTCATCTACTCAAGTAGTGTGCCAAATGACTGAACTAAAAGTTGCATCATGAGTAGGACTGATTAAAATGAGAGATTTCAATGAACTCATTTAATATGTCTCATTTACCTACGTGTTAGGTATAACCTAACTATTTCATGCATGTCATTATTGCTAAAGATCATTTTCATGAAAATAATACTCCAGATGTTCTATCAATATTCATTTATCAATTATTTTATTCATATCCCAAGGCTATGATTCTTACCGACGGATAACGTTCGCGGCCTTTAAGTATTTGGTTTTCTAATTGATATTTGCAAGACGTTGAGTTTTCAAATATCTTTTCTTACTAAATTATCATGTCATCACATGCCTTTTGAATTTCTGTGATTGATACAAATTTCAAAACAACTTTCGATTTTATATTATAATTTGACTTATATCAGCTTTCGAAATTAAATCTCATCTATTATTCTAAGCAATTGAACCTTTATAATTCGTTCAGTAAGAGGACATTATTTCCCATATTTACTAAATTTTTGACAAAATATCTACCTTTCTGAATGACCTTCTTTCTTCAGGTACTGAATAATCTTCATTCTTTTGTGTTCAGATTGAAGGTTTTCATTATCCTATTCAAAATGTTACCATTTACTAAGTTATAGGTAGCTGAATAATTGGAGTTGTGAAGTTGATAACCATATATAAAAATATCCTTAATGAGTTCAGATAACCAACACACTCAAGTTTGGCGGAACGTTAAAATACACCCGAAAATCGTGAAATAACTCTTGTCATGTTTTAGTTAGAAAATCTGAAATTTATTTTTTATACCTAATGTCTGTTTTCTACCCACTTTAGTGATGATTGAATTTAGGTAATGACTGATTTGGGAATCAACTCAATTCTGTCTTCTGTTCTCAATTCGAAATTTTCTTTGCGATTGTATTTCGACTAAAAATACTTAGGTGCCTACTGGTAATGTGATATTACATATTTTTCCAATGACAACAAATTATTTTGATCTTGTTTGCAGTTTGGTAATGACTAATTTGGGAATCAACTCAATTCTGTCTTCTTTCTCAATGAAATGCGAATATCTCAAGTTAGAAAAAAAACACAAACATTGGGAGTTTATGAAGTATTTTTAGGAATTAGATAGTTTTATTAAAATATAAAGACTATTGGACCATTCCTTGGATCAGATTAGGTACCTTAGTATTTGTTTCAATATCGTATTTATAAAAAGTATTTAGATTCTACTGTGTTTGCATCAAAGGAATATGATCTCCATATGACATATCATCTGAAGGTGGAAAAACTAGGGACATATTTAATTTGTTCTGGCAAAGAGTATGAGTTACCTACATATGAACATTCTTAACATTGTATGAAAATAACTTTTTGGACAATGTGAGTAGTTCTGGGTGGAAAAACAGCATTCATTTATCTACGGTTACTATCTTTTTCATATATATGTCATATATTTTTGATAACTCAGTCGACAAGTAAATGGCAATGTTGTTTCTGATTTCAGTTCAATGTGAAAAAAATTAATGCAGGGCCTTGAACCTTCTGCATATATAGCTTCTGCTCATCTTTACCAACCATAGGAGTTCTTGCATTGACCAAGATTTGAGATAAGCCCACAATCTGAACTTCAATTCGGTATTCAATATTTTTATGCATCATATACAACTGTTTCAATTTCGCATATGATATGAATACATTTCTCATACCAATGAATAATTGCGTACTGCAATTCTAAGGGTGATTACACACGAGGCGGTTTGTGCGCCGAGTCGGCCGCCGTAACGGCTTGAGCTATATGAATTTTTGCCAGATAAAACACACACATCTATTTGAGTAGCTAACCGCCTGCGAAATTACGGCTCGTAAGAATTATGTCACGATTCGTTTTTACAATTTGAAGCGGTTCATCATTACAGTTATTTTTCTTGTTCAAGATAGTTTTCTTTCGGTTTCTAGTCGGTTCCTTTCTTGCAGTGTCGCTGAATTTGCTATATTTTGGTAGATTATAATTTTTGTAAAGTGAATTTCGTATAGTCATCATTTATCATTGAGATATTTTTACCTACCGCTATCTGGGATATGCGTTCCCTAAAAAATTTGTATATGTATTTTACTGTTTTATGAAGTGGCAATACAACAATGTGTTCAGATGAATAGGAGCGGCTTAATATCGTTTTTCTAGGCTTAATCATTTGATGAGCAACACATTTTTGACTTCAACAAATTCTTAAGTACAAACTGTTAATGTGCCTTTTTGTGTTGAAGAATAAACCTACACCACTATTCTTGTTCGAGAACGTCGTAAAATTATTATTTTATAGAATAATAATTGGAAGAAAATAAGCCCCAAAACAATATTTCATCATGAAATGTAAACATTATTATTTGGAGGGGTTCTGATTCTGAGAGATTGTGGATTCTCCAGGTATTCAAATACCGTATCCTATTGGACCTATATAGACACCAGATCCCCAAAGTAATTATGAATGAATGTTCCTCCGCCATTATCGCCATAGATGAAATTCTGGAAAAACAATTTCACATATTCGACCATCCGATTAGGAGTAAACTGAATAAATAACTATTATATAAACTGTGCTAATGTTATCTATAGATTAAATTTATTAAATGGCAGAACAAAAGAAATATGTCGTTAAAACCAATTTCAAAAAACCATCATACAATTTGACATAAATTCGCAACACGTGTTTCTCTATATAATAACTTCTTCAGGCTTGTCCAATTCTAGATATTAGTTTAGTGTTGCGGTTTTGTTCAAAACATCACAAAACATTGAAAATGGTTATTCAATATGATTTCACTCAACTTTTATAATTTTTACCATGAACTTCGGCCACAGAAAAATTCTAAGAAATAAAAACTTCGCCATTCATACCTAATGAAATCAGACTTCGGCAACCAATCAAATAAAAAAATTTGACAAGATAATTGACAAATATTCTAATTCAATTCCCACGCATTTCATAAAGTAATTTTAAAATTTTTCAATCAAACTGATACCTGAAGACAATATTTCAATCAGTCTATTAGAGAAGCTGCTTCTTTCCATACCTACTAAAATGAATCATTGTCAGAATCAATTCGATTTGTCACCCAAGAAGTAAAATGCGTCCTAATTTTACTTCTGATCATATTGACTTCAAATGAACTACTGAAATGGGATATTTCAACATTCATTTTGTTTTCATATCTTCGTCGAACAAAAATGGTGATAAATATGTACACTTGAAAGTTCTACTTGGTAGTCATTTTGAAGTAGAAAAATCAAAATTGAAGAGTTTGAACCTGAAACATGGCTATTTTAAGGGTAGTGCCTATATTTCATTTTTATACACAACAGGTCTTACAAAATTCGGTTCCACATGAAAAAGTGAGATATATCGAAGA